TTGGTTCAGAACTGCGAGAATGGTCACAGTCCTTCATTAAAAGGACAAACCCCGTGGTCTGGATTCCAAGGGGCAACATGCCAGTTCTTCCATACAACCGAGCCAACTGGTGCGTTTTCTGGGCCATCCTCCCTACAGCTTCTCTAAGAGAATCAGTCTAGAGGGTTTCTGTTGTGACATCCAGTAATAATCAAAAAGGAACTTTTACTTTCTGGAAGTGGCGCCTACCTGGAGCAGTAGCACTAAGCAAGATATTGTGTCATCCAGCCTCTGAGCAGACATCGTATTGAATTGTTTAGATAAAAACAATGCTTACCCATTTCTCCCATAGTGCCCATTTGGCCTTGAGGTCCAGGAGGGCCTGGTGGCCCAGGCGCTCCAGGATAACCTTGAGGAGGCGGGCCAGTAAACGGTTTTCCTGGCATTCCTTGTCGTCCTCTTGGCCCCGAAGGACCGGGAAGTCCTGGTGGACCTGTAAAAATTTAAGTTCAGGCAATCCCGCTTTATCGTGATGTAAGAATATCAGTTGTCTTTGCCTTTTTCGCCTTTACCACCTTCGCTATCTGCTCCCTTAGGACCCTGTGGACCTGGATTTCCATCGCGTCCTGGTGGGCCTGAAAATCAAATGTTATTCTCGCAGGAAGCAGTATTATCAATACTAAATGATTTACCTGGCGGTCCTGGTTTGCCTCCTTCATAGTTATCCTTTCCAGGTACACCAGGTTTTCCTGGCCTTCCAGCAGGCCCTTTTGGTCCTGGAGAACCAGGTGGTCCTGAAACCTCCAGCTGTTTAACATTCTGAAGCCAATGAGTTTGATTAACAGGTAATAGATTAATCGTTTATCTGTTGAGTATGATTTGAAAGTTATAGTTTAGGGATTTCATCGGAACTTCAAGAAACCAATAACTGTAACTCCAGTCTCGTTTCTGAGCACACGTTTGAACGTGACCAAAACGTTCTTTTGGCGCAAAGCACGTTTTGACTACTCAAGATGCGCAGACAACATGTTTCAGCGATTAATTTAAGAACTAGGTGACTATCAAATTTGCTCTTACAGTAACTACACGCCATGTGCACGGAGGCAATTGCAAAGATTTCCTTCAATTCATAGCTACTATTTTGATCTTGGCAAAATTCATAGGGTTCTTTTGTACCCATTTCTCCAATTGGTCCTTGTGGTCCCGGAGGACAGATTTGGCATTCTTCTTCCGGCCATTCGAAAATGCCGTCTCGCCCTGGTTCGCCATCTATTCTAAACATCAATTACTCATTACAACAAAGTACATATTGACAGCAGTTTAGTTGCGGCAAAAAAATTTAGAAAATCATTCTTTAATATATCAATGACTCTCTGCCTTTGTCACTTTATGTAAATCCAATCTCAGATTTCTCGTCAGCAAGAATGTTTGTTTCATATTTTCCTGTATCGCTTTCAATTGAAAGTACTCCATTAGGACTCAATACTGTGAAGACTGTTGCTCTCTTATTTGATCATCTGTTCTGCATTTGCTGAAAAAATTAGGCGGTAAAATAATTTATTGCAGACAAATCTAAGACCATTAAAAAATGTGTTTTCCAAGAAGCGGGGCGGGGGGGGTGTGGTACATAGGAAACAGGCGCTGCATATAAATTGATACTATAAGCATTTTCCAATGATTATTTAATTCGTTCAACACTTGACCTAATTCAGCATTTGCGCCATTGAACTTTAATGACTACCGCTCAATATTATTTTAATTACCCCATAACTTATTCAAATTACTAAAGTAGAAACAGACCCTTCAGTTTGAAATGATGTAAATTAGCTTTTAATGATAAATAGTAAAGAAAGAGATAGTTAAAGATTTAAAAAAATGTATAATTAGTAAGTGAGGCTTTCAAAACCCACAACGATGTTATTTTATTAACTACTCAAATTATTTTGAGTAGTTAATAAGAAGGAATTCGTTTGTAATTTCTGAAACGTCCGCTAAATAAATACAGTTTATTCCAGGCTTCTAACAGTCTCTTTCTTTATCGCTTGAAGCAAGTTCATTCCCTCGCTTTCCTTCGTTGGCCGTTCAAATACTGTACAAGGACTGAGACATCGCTCTTGTATTTATGTC